CTCGACATTTTTCAATTTGATGTTCCTTCCCCTCTGTGAAGCCTGAAGTCAACTAAAGGGCTAATGATAACCATCAAGACGCCTGCCATTTGATATAAGTAAATAAATATTGTCATTGATACATTGTGAATTGACATAAGAATATATTGTTATTTCCGAAAACATCCTCCTTTAAGATTGTAAAATGGGTGTAGGTACTAACCACCTGATAATATTCAGATTTTGTCTACAAGTATAATCCCAAAGCGTGCTGGAAATAGGCTCTGAATCATCCAGGAACAAAGAGGGGTGTACATGCTTGAGTCTACAGAATGGACCCATGGAGAAGCCGAAATGACAGATTAGCGAGGCAATTGGCTCGATCTGGAGAGATGATTGGATGCCATATGAGCCTCTAAACTCTTGTATTCTTAATACTCTTGCTCCTTATTTCAAAATTGCGGATGTCATGTAGAATTTATCCCTCTCTTAGCACATTTGTCCTATCTATTGAAAAAATGATTATGTACTTAGAGCTACTTTCTAATAATATGGTTTTAGCAGGTAACTGATTAAGAGGCTCATCATTTTGCTATGATCGATATTCTACTCTGGTGCATTTTCCCGATTAAATGGACTACCTTGTCTTGAACCACCCTTCTTCTTAAAATTTCAATGTTTCTTGAATTAAGCAACATTTCGTTTAAATTTAAAATATTTAGAAACTTACTTTTCTACCATAAAGAGCTGTAGCCAGGAGGTGGGGGTTATTTGGAGACCAGGCGATATTGACAACCCGATCTTTGTGTTGAAAAGCACATAAATGCTCCAGTACCGGTGTTTCAGTGGTCTCATTTTTACGAGTTTGTGCCCTCCACAATTTAACCTAAATAAAAAATCCGCTCAACATATTATCTCCAAACCCTTATCACATATTTGCCATTGTCGTAGAGTAGTTATCTTTAGCTAGAATGAAATCGTCACCATAGCCCTAAGCACCATTTCGCTTTCAAAAGTTTTCCCTACGGATATGATTTTCTAGTATGGTTGGTTGGAGTGGAATGTTTCATACTCAATAAACGTCTCTCCAATGAACTAACATCGTTGTAAACAGCCTAATAATCATTGACTTTCATAACATTTCCCATCAAAATGAAGAACAATTAAAAGCCATTCGTCTCAACTGAAAATTTTACGTTCATATTTGCACTATTCCGCACCCATATGATACTCATTTTACTTAGATTTACAAAGGCTGATAAAGGTCTCGAATTTTTTTTCTATGTATTGCCCTTGCACCATCACTAATTTAATGTGTTTACTGATAACTTAAAATCAGTAGTATTTGGGCAATCAGCGTCGAACTATATAATGAATTGCCTTGGAAGCACTGTAGCATAAGAACGATCAACCTCCCCATGACCTAAAATTTGCATGGCTTATCAACCTATTCAATTGAAATTGAAACTACGTGAGCTAGTTCTGACGTGTTTTGGGGTTTTTTCCATTGCAGGCTACATTCGATACATATTTACATATGCGTATCATCGGGTCAGGTCAAATTGATATTCATCCACAAGTGGAATGATTTATCCATTTCGGTAGTTTGGGAACTTAAAGAACTGCAACATGTTTACATGAGTCGGGATGAAGCACTGGGTGTATAAACGTACCGTTTTATCTAAAGACGAGGTTGCCAATGTCGACTTATTCCACGCCAAATCTGTCACCGAATTTGAATGACATTGGGCTCGATAGTAAGTATCACCGTCATAACGACCAGGCTAAAATATGCGAAATAAAGTTTTAGACTATTTAATTAGTGTAGCTAATGTGATGAATTTTCCCCCCTCTAAAGTACACTCAATTTAAAATAATTCTTCGATTTTACTTTTGTAAAATAAATGTGCAAAAATAGGAATTAGGTGAGTTGTTTTAGGATGATTAGCCTTTTACAATGGACACCAGTCACATAACTCAGTAAAAACACGCTAATGCCTCAAAGACAGACTTTACTCCAAAGTTATGGAACGAGAATTTTGTATTTCAAAAGTCGAATTTGAAAAAAAAGATGATGGATATATTCAAATAATGCACAGATGTGATCTATTCAATTCGAATATAATCAATAAATACCACTGGGCCTTAAAGTGAGTTGTTTTATTCTGAACCAACAAAATGCAAATATATTTAATTATTAGTTGTTTCCAGAAGCAAATGATTGGTTGTTCAGGTTGTTACGTATACAGAATTCAGTTATTAGTCGCAAAACTATGGGATAAAAATTTTTCTGAGTAAATTTGAAAAGTGTGAAATATGATCCAGATTACCGTCTCGGGGATTCGGACTAATGGTTATTGTTTTTGGCGTCAGCTAACGTTATGCTTAAAGCCTTACAAATTAAGAGGACAAAACTTTTATTGAATATTAAAGGTGCATTTTTTTATTAATATTACTTATTTAACAGAATTATAAAGTGGACACTATAGTTAGAGAAAATACCTACGCATGTATCACCCTAATTCCAAAATGTCATTAGATCATTTTCGAAATATATATAAGCCAACTCACCTTCACGAGAAGTGAAAAATATAACAATAGGTACATGGTTTTCTAATAACCCATATGTCCTCACTGCTATAATTGACGAAAAAATATTAATCAATGGTTTGCAAGTGGAGCAATTGAAATTAAAGGATAAACTTCACTTCACATGTTTTAATTTGTTTATGCGACGAGTACGACTATCCGCGCAACCTTCCCTATTTAGAATGCTCTTCATAATTCTACCCCCTTCAATCACTTCGTTCTCCTGTTCGGATCATACCCTCTTACCACGAGTTGCAACGGTTGAGAGAACAAGATCGATATAAGAAAGGCTAAGGAAATATTCTTGAACAGGTCGTTTTGATAGAATTTAGCAGTCCTCTGAATACTTTAAACTCACTAGAGATGATAATTAGTTCTAAAAAATAGTCATTCTTCTTCCTTAAATGAAAACAATTTTTAATTAGTAAGTAATTAACTTTACCTATTACCATTGGAACTATCTGATAAGCATTTCATAATGAATATGAACATTTTTGCTTTCTCAAAACATCATATCATTTATTATGTTCGATTTTAAGAGTATCTCCAAGATGTCCTTCCAATGCGCTTGCCAAAATGGGGAGATTTCGCGTTGGCTTCTGAGTTTTCCTATTGCTTTCCCTCGTATGTGTAATAAGAAATGAAGTCACTTCACGTATACGTTGGAATTTAGTAAATTAATTAGTTAAAATTGGTTGTAAGTGATCAAGGGGGCTACTGTGAGGCGTATCAGTAGGCGAAATGGACTAATAGTCAACAGTATCTAACATGATCTCTCAATTATTTCAGGACCCATTTCTCCACTTACTTTGTAAACGCGACTCTTGGCTCAATGCGTCATATGTAATCACGTAGTGAAATCGTTATTTGTGATTGGAATTTGTCACCATAAAAGCAATTATAATTATGTTGTTTAGAGGTCAAGTTATGCTTCATCTTTGCCAAGAGCACAAACAAATTAGCCGGCTGAGTCATTTCGCTGGAGAACCCTCTCAACCGAGAGTTAGGTCAAATTAAGGTGGTGAGTGTGACACAGATTAGAAACCAAAAAACTCATTTTGCGAATTTTGCGCACTTCGAAACTGAAATTCCGTCGATTTCACATAAGAAGTAAAGAGTCACAGAATTCGTATTAATTTAGTATCGTCACATATTTATGTAAATTTATAGATTAAAGTAATAAATTTATGCATGGAAAAGAGGAGGCTTTAAAAATTGTCATAGATTTACGCTGTGACTAGATGCCCTGAACGCTTTCCTTTTTACCAATCCAATTAAATCAATATGAGTTTTTATTTTCATTAGTGGGTATGCACGCTATCATTGCCCAAATTGGAGAAATCATTAAAAATTGTGGTCTCAACAAAACTACCGAAATATATTGACAAGAAATACAAACTGGTGTAACATATGATGAATAAATAGCGTAAGCTTCATATTTAAAAAATTACCTCTTTGTGTGTTAGTAGTTACGATCGAAACGAAAATTGTCTAGTATGCATAAGATTTTAATTGGCGTAACAAATAAAGATATAATAAGGCTTACAATTTTTCAACTTAAATTGAAGAAAAGACACTTTCACAACCTCTTTAATGAAAACTAATATAAAAAGTAAATTGGAGAAAATAGAAAGAGTCTGCAAAAAAAATATACTTCAAATCATGAAAACAGAATAATGCACTGATCTGCAAGAGCAACAAAATTTATCCAAGTCGTTTCCACTTATCGATTAAATAAATAAAAATAAAGAAATCAAACTCTAATTCTCAAGTTAAAAAAATTAGGCACCATTAAATTAATCATTTTCCAAAAATATTTATTCAGTCACATTTCTCTTCTTAAAACACAGATTATAAAGGTGTTGAGGCAAATGAGTTAAAAACGATGATCATGATATTTGGTAGTGCGACGAAAAAATTTCATAACTGTGGAAACTTCAATAGGAACATTGCTTTGAATACCTATTATTTCCGTATATTTATCATTAATGTTTAAAAATTAAGGAATGCTTTAAGTGCGTACCTTCGACAAATCCAATAAAGCCACCAATCCTCCAGCATTAAATCCTGTAGCAACAGCAAGATATTTTTCAGAACAAGCAGCTAAGTGTCCATACTGAAATGCATTAGAAATCGGAACACCCTCAAAGCTGGATTCTGCACCGGCAGGTATCCAAATAGGACTCGGTGAATGCAAAATTGATCTTGTCATTTCAAAACGGAAGACAATAGAGTTCAATTGACAAAATCAAACCAAGCGGAAATAAGATAATGAGATCACGAAAATTTTCTCTGCTATTTTTAAAACTTTTTGATCAACTTAGAACCGGTTATAAATTATGAAAGATTAGAAATAAATTTAAAATCCCACGGCTTTCGACCTTCATGTAATTTTTTAGGCATTGAAGAGAAATAAAACAAATAAACAAAAATTTAAATTATTATTTTAACAAATAAATATATAATTTTGCAGAATTTTTGAGTGAGGTAAAACATTTTGATTGAGACTTTATTTGTGCTGTTTATTGCGTGAAATATTTCAGCCTGAATAAATATTGCACAGATGTAGTTTTTTATGTTTAAATACAAGCAAATGCAGTAAACAAGTGTCATTTGATAATATTATGCGTTTCTATATGAAATAACTATCTTAATCTTAAAATAAACATAATTTTCCATTTTCCCAACTCCTATTTCAGTATAGATCAAGTTATTTCCCAAATACTCTCAAGTGAAAAATAACAATCTTTATTATTTATAATTACTTCTTTTAAAAGTTGCAACTGTCTTACATTTGGGTGTTAATTGCAATATGGTAATTAATTTATTATATTACAATTAATTTATTATTGATATTTAAATCAAGATAGATTGTCAAACGAAAATTGTGATTTTCGTTCATTTTCAATCTGTGGTCAAAATTTGATTAAATTTATTTATTAGAAGTTTAAACCAACTTTTTGTGTATGTCACCTAGTTTGAAAAGTCGCTTGTTGCCGTTTTCGTTTGGTGTACCAATAATGTCATCTAAATCTGAATCTGAACTTAAGAAAATGAAGGTAATTACTCATTTTATTTATTCTTATGTTCATTTATATTTTTTAAAATTTATTAATTGTTGTCGTTCCCGTATTTCTTGCTCATGTTATTTTGGATTTATCTATTTCTGTTACTTTCAATTAAGATCGCTGATCTTAAGAAACTTTGCACAATTTCATCTCTGCAAACTACCGGTTCTAAACAGGAACTAATTGATCGTATATTGGTCTACGAAGGTAATGAAATATCATATCTTTTAAAGTTTATATTTGCAGCAAGCAAATCGTCTCTTACAGTCGCTCCTGATGAAGAAGCTCAATTGCTAGATGAAGATGACGCTTCACCTTGTGATATTAGTCACAACCTTTCCACTGTCATTCCTGATGGAAAGCCTCAAACACAAGTTGAAGATGCACCAAGTACTGAATCTCAAACGGATAAAGAAAAGACCACCAATTCTGTAGCTGCCAAACCGGATATTTCCAAAATGACAATGGAAGAAGTATGCCTGTGTCACATGTTTAACAACCTTATAGAGAATCGCTTACAGAAAGCAACGTTTTGGTGGGATTGGCGATGTCTCTAGCAACTACTCATCAACTCGCCCTACTCTAAGTGGTCAAGACTTAGAAAAAAGGTTAGAAAGAGCAAAGAGATTTGGATTACCTGTCGATACCTTTCCGAAATCTGACATTGAACGTATGAAATCTCGCGCAGAGCGTTTCGCAACTGCACCAATCAAACCTGTGCGTTTACTTTGTCCTTAAAACCAGTCTTTTAAATCCATTTATTAATTCTCATTTTTTCAGGATGCCCAGGTTGAATTGACTCCGGAAGAACTAGAAAGGAAGCGCAAGCGTCTTGAGAGATTTGGTGAAACAATGGGTGATGAAGAGAAGAAGAAACTTGAAAGAGCCATCAGATTCGGATTAACTGAAGCAAAGAAATCCAAAACTGATTTGTCTTGAATGTAGAATTTCTCATTATGGTTTAATCTGTTTTGTAAATGTATATTTGTAAAGCATTTATAAATGTATCAGCCAATATTTATCATGTCTTGCGGTTGAATTATTCTGATATTTTAATGCTCCTAATCTCTGTTTTTGCTTTATTTATGTTTTCTACTTGGTCAGTCTATTTATGTGTGTGATTAAACCACCTCCCTAAGGACCTGATAAATAATGTTTTTTTAATTTACTATTTGGCATTGGTATAGTTTAATTCTACGTCCTTACGCTGCTAATGCTCACTTGGGTCTGTGAAATGGTTGTTATGCGCACTTCCTGGTGTCCCATCCAGTCCTGGCTTTATGAAAAAGACATGATCGGTGTTTGATTGGCAATTGGTGCTAGCTTGGTATTCCATATCATTTGTGCCATACGTGCTTGCGTAAGCTACTGCTTCATCCACGTCGTTGTGCCATGTTGCATTGCCTTTTATCGATCAGACAATTCTCTACGTACTATAGATGATGAATTTGTGGTGACGCTTTTCTCATTTCTTTATTCTCTACGTAGCATTTGTTTCTCCCAAGCTTGTCAGCACTAGGCTCGATGTAGTAATCAAGAACGGCTTTACTACGCTCTCTACAGTAGTGAGTGTTACTTCATTCTACAATAATTTGTTAGTTGCCTTCTAGTAACACTGACAGTGTGTTTTACACGGTACTTGGATAAGAATATGTTCTAAATCTGGAAATTTATGCGTGTTAAGGAACCCCGTTATCCCCTCGATACTCCTTACGAATATTTTCTCCCCTTTATTTCAATGTAGTCTTTGATGCTTACTGTGATTTGAACACCGTGGGACGAACACTTTACATTTTATGCTTTGTGTCACCATCAATTTTCCTCTCTTCTTTCGTCTTGTGCACATGATCTTAACATTTCAACAGGCTCATTGAATAGAGTGGGTATTCCAGTTATTGGTGATGATCTAAACTTAACAATGGTGTCAGCACTAATTTAGGGAACGAAGTCAATATGAAACAGATTGCTTGATCGATTGAGTTAAGTAATTGCGTCTTTGTTTGTTGAGAGAAATCGAACCTAGGAGTTCATTGGCAAAATAGGTATTCATATTCGGCTGCTTCACACCTTTTGAATTTATATCTATGAATTATTTGGGCGTGATTATATTAGTATTTGATGAAATACCAACCCTGAAATATGCAATCTATCGATGCTATCTTTAGAGAAAACGTATTTATCGAGTTGTATTTATTTGGTCAGGAAATCTTGAACATTGTGGGTATGTGGCCATTACGTTACGTAGTAGTCGCATGCAGGATTTTGAACTATTGTAACACAAAGTGCTACTCAAAAGTTGAAAGTAATATGTGAATTAAATTTTTTGTTGCTAACTTCACCCAAGATACTGCCAATAGCAAGATGAGGCTAAAGTGAAATGGAGTGCTCAAAAACGGGAATAAAATAATAGACCAACAAGATTTGGTTTTTCATGGCTATATATAGGAACGGAAACAAGGGCTAAGCACTCAAGTCGTCAGATTTGAGTTGTACTCAAGGTAAGGATAACCAATGCTCTAAAATTTATATCTTCATTGCCTACCTCATTTCGACCTCCCCCCTCTCTATCGACAGCATGATAGTACCCATTTTGGGAAGGTGATAAAGACATTTGGAGGCACGCTAACTACACATTCAATTCCCACCTTGAATATTCGAAAGTTTCAAAATGTTGCAAGTATTACCTTACTCCCAAAAGTCGTTCCTGGTCAAAATTAAAGGCGAATGAGTGCTGGCTCGAGTCCACTCATTATATTTTGCAACAAATTATCTTGCCAAAATATTGATAATGTGGATTTGGAGTAACCGCGTATCTTCCTTGTCAACTCCCTCCATCCAATGGGAGGATATATCTAAGCAGATTATCCATCTTCACACGTTGCTCCACCTCTTTTACTTTGCCCAGCAAATGACCTTTACCTCAGGGACTACAAACGCTTTATAAATTTTCCCCGCTATCGAACACCCAGGTTATAAACACCAATACTCAACTCAATAGCGTCTTTTCTCAATTGTTTGAGTTCCATTCCTTCCTTCCTTCTCGATATACAACTAAACAGATATAAAGGAATAAATGTCGGATCAATATTAATTATTGGCGCTCACATTTTGCAGTTAAAGAGAAAGGGATAGCGATTGTTGGTGGAGGGGATGGGCAGACGAAGATATATAGAGGAGGGCAGTTGAACACAGACGAATAGGCTCGGACACAGAGGATGGATAGGCGCTTTGATATTCGGTCATTTAGTTTGTTCACATCAGGCATGTGGGAATGAATGACTTATAGGGAGGTACGGAGAGGCACACACTGGAACAGAAGTTAGGGGGGGGGGAGAAATTGATTTCACGCGACACAGGGAAGAAAACCAAAAACCGGGTCCACACAAAGAAAACACATACAGTGTGTGTGTGTCTATAGTTAGTTCATTGTTTATAGGAGGGAGGGCAGGAAATCACCTTCAGGTTCTGTACACAAGAGAACAAGCCTCGAAAACAGGTGATGACACATAACCCACTGCAACAACGACCGAGAATAACATAAGTAACGCACTATGTCTGTGTGTGTGTGTGCGAGAAGGGAAAATTTTAGTCATTTTTGTGCCCACATAAAAGGGAAGAGGGGGCTAATAGATAGTATTAATAATAATAATAATATATACAGTGTAAGTGTTTGTGTGTGAAGTTAGTAGGGGATAGAGGGTGTATGCGTGTTCAGCGCGACAGCAGCGTGGCGGTTGAGTGTATAAGGGGGGGTGAAGTCAGGAGTGCAGTTCATTCCAAATAATGAGTATGTAGGAGGAGAGAAAATTAAGAGAAAGACACGATTGTGGTGATTGAGGAAAAGAAGGTTCAAAATTGGCGCTGCTGCCTTATGTCGACCGATATCGATTCAATCATCGATCGCTGTTATTGTACGTGCTTGTGTATGTAGAGGTTTAGGCACTGGAAATGTGCGGATCACGCATACATATTGTCTCTTTCATTTCTTCATCAAGTAAGCTGCCAGTCAAGTAAGGAGTAAGAGAGTGAAAGAAAAGTGAGGAAGAGGTTAGAAGAGCGTTATTGCTGTTGGAGAGTGGACACCACATCTGATGGTGGTTGTTGATTTGGCGCAAACGTGAGATAAGCCGGGCTACTTCCATCAACAAATCCTCCACCTGCTACTCCAATTGCTGCTGTCGCTGTCGTTGACATATTGACAGCGGGTTCCTCCGGAAATCGTTTCGGAACCACAACTAGAGATGGCGCTGTGTTGTTGGTTGTGGATGGGGCAGTTATGTTAGTCGTTGGATGATCTGAAAGGACTTGTGTTAGTGGACAAATGGGAGTTAAATATTGCAATTTTATCTAAGTGGATAAAGAATGGACTTACTTTCAGAAGTCGAATTAGCAGCAGCAGCGGCGGCGGCAGCAGCACTTGCGGTGGCGGAAGATGATTTTCTATCGAAGAAACGATGAGCCAAGGCCTCATCAGGTCGAAGTCGGGCCCGAGGATCGTAGACAAGCATCTGAGCAACCAAGTCGATAAACTTGTCGTAGTCTTCAGGAGAGTGACCTTCTTCACCTGATCGTCGTCCACCTGGACCCCCAGTATCACGTCCTAATACCTCTCGAAGCGGTCTTGTTTGGGGACCCGCGAAACGGCACTGGAGAAAAGGAAATAAATAAATAGCATGTTGCAATGAGGCGTTGATACACTCGGAACTTTCACAACCACAATAGTTAGTACACACAGGCTGATATTTTGATTGCTCATTAGACTACGAAGTTCGGGAGATTTGGTACGTCCCTCCCCTTTATCAAAGATCGAATTCCATCCACTTAGTAAAACGTCCTTCCTATTCCTCATACACTTTAATCATTCTAACCCTCGAGCCTTTCCAGTTTCCAATTAATATTCCCTCCCGAGAAAGGCTGTCATATTCCATCAGACATTAAGACCCAAAGTTCTAAAAGAAGATATGGGGCTCAAAAACAAATCAGTATGGCTCAAGCGAGCTTTACTATCGAGACAAGGAGGGATTTGTGAAATAAATTCTCAAACATGAATTGGACCTGAATGCTTAAATCACACTATTGTAAATAATAAGAAAGTGGAATTACGTTATTCATACTATAACGTAGACCACAGAATGACGGGACCAACGATTATCGATCGTTTAGTTGCCTGGAAATTAGCTATCCTAACATACTGGGAGAGAAGTTCAATAACTATCAATTATTATTTCAAACTTCTCCAGCCAATGATAACCTTATTACAAACACAGATTAAAAAATAAGTCCATGTCTGAATAATTGATTCGAATTGGTTTAGTTAACATTCTCACCCTATATCTCTTTGGAGTATAGGCAATTGGAGTATACCTTATAAACAGCAATCATTTCTAGTGAAAAATCAGCAATCAATGTGACTTTCCACCCTTCTAAATGTAAAACACAGGATTAATACAACTTAGATGTAATCTACAATGTCAATTATTCCATTTACCTAGAGATAAAATCAGAGATTAGTGAGTGGATAATGAGAAAAGAATAAAAGTGGAAACCAACATTACGCCCAATAAAATGTTTTCCAAGAACAGGATAATATCATCCGAGGGCATGCAGTATGAGGAGAGAGGAAAGAATTACCCTCATGGTCATGTTTCCTTTGGAATATATCCGCCGTGGCCGATAGACAATGCCCTTTATTGTAACACACGCCTTGGAAAAAGGTGAAGTAGGAGAAGTTTGGCCAGACGTATCCATCCGGTCAGGCTGCTGTCCTGAAGAGTTGGACGATGTAGAAGAACACAGGGAACTCGAAACATCAGAGACCCTCTCGAAAAAGTGTTCCAATTTTGGACTTTTTTCCAGCATCCAAAGAGGCGGTAATCCCAGAACTTCCACAATTTGTAGGAGTTGTTCCAACTATATCAGATTGAAGATTTGTTATACGCAAAATGCATTAGCTACAATTGAATACTTAGTAGTACACGCACCTCATTCGAGCCAGAGAACAGGGGTTCTCCTGTATGCATTTCCACGAGAATACAGCCCAGTGACCACATATCAATGCTTAGACCGTAGTCAAGATTAAGTAAAACCTCAGGAGCACTGAAAAGAAGAGAAGGCGTGATGAGTACTTTACCAACGAAATGTTTTTTGCAGAATTGAGGACGGTAACTCACCGATAGAATCGAGACTGAATGTACTGATGGACATTTTCATTGACATGACAAGAGGAGCCAAAGTCAATAACCTTGAGATCGGAGCGTTTCGGAGTGACAAGGAGGATGTTTTCGGGTTTTAGGTCACAATGCATGACCCGAACATCGGGGCGCGAGAGGAAGACGAGAGCGGCACAGAGCTGACGTGCGAATTTCAGGGTCAGATGCAACGAAACCCCTCGAAAATGAGTGTAAGTTAGGAGTTCGTAGAGGTTGTAGGAGAGACATTCGAAGACCAGACACCAGTGACCTTGATACGTGAAGTATCCCTTCAGATTAACTGCAGAATGAAGAAGATGGTTGAACATATCGAACCTTCAAGCAGGCTTAAATCTGCATGATAAAATGTAATTTATCTGGAAATAATGGAGCATAACAAGAGAAATCAATGCTAATTCAAAATAAAATACATCATCTCTCATTTGATTTCCTAAAATATAGACCCACATTTTCGGTATTTTCACAAAGTGTATTTTAATGCCAATCAATATATTTACAAAGGCATTTTTAAATGGAAAAAAATTGTTGTATCCTGTCTTCATGGGATTTATGGGACGGTAAGCCGAAACTCAAAAATGAAACAGATGACCGCTCCGAATCACAACTGCTTACAATATCTTGCTTGAATGGACATATTCAGAGACTTCTATGTCTTTTTACTCCAAAAAATACAATTGAGCTGAAGGTCGGGTTACATGATCAAGGGAATCTGAAAACATCCTAGATTTAACAATGGGCAAAATAGGAAGCTCTAATTCCATGGCTTAACGCTTTAGTCTTTAGCTACTTATAATGATACGCAGTTGATAACCATTGAAGCAGCTAGGTATCAAGTAAATTGAATCACATTAGAAAGGATCCCAGGTTTGTTGAAAAAAACGCATTTCCGGCACTCATATTGGACAGAAAGGTAGTGCCCTGCAGCTCCTTTCAAGAATAGCACATTATGCTACCTACCCCTTGACCATTTTCAACCAACACCAGTTTACATGCCCATTTAAGATATGCGCATCATTGAAATCTGAATAGAGAACCACTATGTTACAGGGTCAATGAATTTTTTAGTATTTGCATGATCTGCCTCTTAGGTCAGGTCCATCCCACCTTACGTGTTTGCCTGCATACTGACTCACACTCAACGCAATTTGTGCAATTGAGAGTATTAAATAAATAAGATAGTAAAAGGTTACGCCCACACACGCACACACACAAATACCGCCCATAAATATAAATTGATTCTTTCTAAAAACAGAACGAATAACATTCCGTACCAAAGATTAACCAATAAACAAAGCTCAATCCTTACTGAAAGCAACAGATCATTATTAAATGGCTATCTATTAGTAACAAAATACAGTTGAAAGTCTCAGTCTTCTGCTGCACCTCTCGACCTTCTGTGACTCTTATGCCCCCTCCCTCCCCCCCATGAAGCCCGAAGTTGACTTAAAGTTTAAGGTTTACCCTAAAGAACTTATAGGGAATAAATTTTTGACTGCATACAAACAGAAACGGAAAGTAAGGACAGGTGACTGGAACATTAGGACTTCACCCTGATAACTCAACCCATATGAAAGGTCAACTCACCGACATAGTTAGCCCCAACTTCAACAGCTCTTTGTTCATTCTCTTGAAAGTGTGCAATTTCTCTTAGAAGCTTGATCTCAATTTCCGCTTGCGCCAGGAATTGCCGCCTATTTTTTATCACCTTGATCGCCACCTCCTCGTGGGTTTTGCGATCGTGTGCTCGAAAGACCTGTCCGAAAGTTCCTTTCCCTTTTATATCAGTAATCTCGTACCGATCAAGCCACACGGCTCCAATTTTGAGGAAATCACTACTACTGTTACTACCTGCTACTGATGGTGCTTGGCTATTCTGATGACGCTGCGTTCGATTATTAATAGCGTTTGAGGTCGACGCGACAGCAGTGTTCCCAACAGCACATCTGGGAGCGGTAGTTGTTGTAGTGGATTGAAGAGGGTTTTGAGGAGCCGGGAAAGAAGAGGCTTGGGCTGTAATTTTTTGCTGTTGTTGCCGATTCCCCACATCGTACAGATGGGCTTGCGCTTGAGGTTGGGCTTGTGGAAAGGAATTAGTTGTACTCCAAGCGGAAGTATTGACACCATTCGCTGCGCCAGAAGTGACACTGGCACCA